AGGTGCTGGATTCCCACATGGCTGACCGTGGTTCGAGCTCTGAACCTGGCGGTTTGCTTTCTCACTTTCTCCTTCTCTCTCTCTGTTTCTCTCTGGTCAAATTAAAAAATAATATTAACAGAGACCAGCAGTTGGCATAATGGCTATGTCACTGGACTCCCATGTAGACGATCCACAGTATAAGTCCCAAACCCAGTGGCTTAAACTCACGCCAGACTGTGCATGCCTGCCCAAATCCCTACAGGAGAATGGAAGAGAAGAAATTGTGTAACCATCCCCCCGGGGGTGATTTCTTGCTTTCTGTCTCTCGGTCTCTCTCTGTCTTTCTGGTGAGCATATGCACCCTATAGGAAAAACCTCTCCAAAAATATATAAATAATAATAATAACAAATGGAATTAAATAAATAAATAAATAATTGTTTTTTTGTTTTTTTTTTTTTAAATATCTGCACTGCTACATGAAGAAAGAGAACAGGGTCTACCAGACGTGGTGTGGAATGCAGATTGTTGTCAACCTACTCATGCTGAGACTTGGTAACACTGCTTAACTTTTCTTAGACATTTTTACTTCATCTGTAAAGTGCATAATAATTTAATCATAAGGATAACTTCCCCCTAAACAGTCACTATAAAGATTAAATGACGGGCCAGCCGTGGTGTGGTGGTTGAGGCGTTGGACTCCAACGTGGCTGACCACAGTTGGAGTCCCAGACCTGACAGCTTGCTTTCTCCCTTTTCCTCTTTCTCTCTCTCTGTCTCTCTGATGAGTTAAATAATAACAATAAATTAAATTAAATTAAAAATTCTTTCAAGAAGATTAAATGAAACAGTATGTTTAGAGTGGCACGTCTTAGATCTTTAATAAACATTAATTCACTTCCTTCTTGTAACATTGCAAACAATACATTTTAACATATGTAAAGGTTTTTTTCATAGCTCAAGATTTAATTGATACTATAGAAGAGAGTGGACTAAGAAAATGTTCCTATCTCTAATGAACTTACATTTTTTTCTATGTAGATAAAAGATTTGAGTGAGGTTAGGCAGAGTTTTCCTCTCTCATCTTCCACTCTGTCCCATTCCTTCCACTACCTGGGTAGGAAGGGAAACTCCCTAGAGAACAGAAGAGAAGGAATTGCAACATGGTCATTCCCCCCCCAGGGAGAGGTGATTTCTCAGTTTCTGTCTCTCATAACGGAGAAAAACACAAATTACAATAACATTTTATAGGTTAGGAAACTGGAACAGAAAAGTAATGACAAGATTTACTCAATGATAAATAATGTTCTGATGGATAAATATTTGGGATATGGCCACTAGCGTTTGTCAAATATTTGTCAGATTTTTTAATTAAGTAGCTTTAAGAAAGGGCATAAAATGTGAAATAAATTTCTGAAATTCCGCAAAGACATTTAATGCAGCATTCAAAATAAAACCCAGATGTTTATGACTGCTAACAAATGATACTGAGAAATTCCAGTTTATTATGGATTGAAGCCCTGATTTGGCATACTGGGGACTCGCATTTTCACTGGGATAGCCTTGGGTTTCAGTGGGCTATAAATGAAGGTTTTTGAACAAGACACTGTGTTCTAGATTCTCTTGTGGAGGCAAACTGGATTGATATAAGTGCAGCACTACGCCATGCAACCATTAAGGCAGAGCTGTTCAAAACAACAGTCCCCATTGGGACCAGCAGTTAGTGTAATGGCTATGTCGCTGGACTCCCATGTAGTCGACCATGGTTCGCGCCCTGGACCCGGTGGCTTAAAACTCACGCCGGGCACGTGTGCGTGCGTGCCCAAGATCCCAAGAGGAGAATGGAGGAGAAGGGATTGCAACGTGGCTATCCCCCAGGGGGTGATTTCTCGCTTTCTGTCTCTCTGTCTCTGTCTGTCTGTCTGTCTGGTGAGCGCACGCACCCTATAGCAAAAAAAAAAACTCTCCAAAAGAAAAAAAAAAGACAGTCCACATTTGCACCATCCATTCCAACAGCCTCTAGTGACAAGCGGCTGTGGAGCACTGGACTTGAGATGCTGTGACTGAGAAACTGAAATTTTAAATGTATCCCATTGTAAATCATTTAAATAGCAACCGGTAATGAACAGCTGTCACGCTGGACAGCACAGATCAGACCTTTCCCACCTCTTATCAGTTTTAAACCTACGTCTCTTATTTTTTAATTGTGTTATTTATTTATTTATTTATTCATTTATTTATTTATTTATTATTTTGAGGGGAGAGATTTTTGCCATAAGGTGCATACACTCACCCAAGAGACAGTGAGAAATGGAGAGAGAGTGGGAAATCATCCCCCAGAGGGATGGCCACACCACAATCCTTTCTCCTCCATTCTCCTCTTGGAATTTTGTGCACATACACATACGTATGCGCCCAGCATGAGTTTCAAGCCACCAAATCCAGGACTCAAACTATGGTCAACCGTGTGAACGTCCAGCATCTTAACCACCAAGCCACCTTCTGGCTCCTCATCTATTCTTTTTAAGTACATATATACCTATTGATACCAGTTCTACCATATTATTACTTTCTAGTAATTGACATACCTGGGTAAGTTTCTCCAAAATCACCCTATATTGAAACTAAGTTTATTTGGAATTCAGAAAAAAAAAAAGATTATCTTTTGAAGAAACTCTCACATAGGTTCTTGTGGAGGGTATTGCATATGGAAGCCATCTTGAGAGCTCCGCCATCTTGAGAGCTGTCCGCCATCTCAGAAACCATTAGGTTTCAGGACCAGCAGTTAGTGTAATGGCTATATCACTGGACTCCCACATAGTCAACCGTGGTTCGTGTCTGGGACCCGGTGGCTTAAAACTCACACGGGCGCGTGTGCATTTATGCCCAAGATCCTGAGAGGAGAATGGAGGAGAAGGGATTGCGGCGTGACCATCCCCCCTGGGGGGGGGATTTCTCACTTTCTGTCTCTATGTCTCTCTCTGTCTGTCTGGCGAGCACACGCACCCTATAGCAAAAATCTCTTAAAAAAAAAAAAAACTTCATCTTCATCTTTAAAACAACAAATCTGTATGAAGTAACCTTTGTTTTTCTTCCTTTCTGTTCTTTCTTATCTATTTTCCATTTTTGCTTCCATTTTAATTTCTACTTCAGCCTGAGTTCTTTCTTGCCATCCCTCTTAGCTGAGACTCACGTGCCCACACTTTCTCACCCATCTTCATTCGATGTGTGCTAATACTTTTAACTCCAAGGCTCAGAGGCAGCAGCCGGTTTACCATCAAAGCATACCAAGTGAGGAAAACCAACATGTGCTTAATAATCCAGGATTTAAGGGCCTAGGATGCGTGAAGAAGTACAGGAAGGATGAGTGTCTCTCAAGTTAAACTTATGTTACCTAAAGCATGAGCAGGAGACATAATGGTGAAGGCACTGGACTCCTATGTGCTCAACCACGGTTCGAGTCCCAGACCCAGTGGTTTGAAATTCATGCTGAGCACATGCGCCTGTGTGCCCAAAATTCCAAAAGGAGACTAGAAGAGAAGGGATTGCAGTGTGGTCATCTTTCCTGGGGGCTGATTTCCTGCTGTCTCTCTGTATCTCCGTAAAGCACATGTATCCTAAAGTAAAAAACTCTTAAGAAAAAAACCCTATCTGAATGTTATTAGCCCCACTGCCACTTCAGGATCTGACTGGCACCATTCCAATTCTCAGCATTTAAACAATGCCTGACAGTTCAAAACCCCACAACAAATTATGGTGTGAGTGAAGAAAGAAATAAACATATTCCTCTGTGATGTCTACTGATTTGCCCCACCCATAGTGAAATCTGGCTAGAATATTATTTATTTGCCTTCAAGAATTCCGTTAAATGGCATCCTAGAGCTTGAACTATGATAATAATGTAAAGAGATACATGTCAACTTGCAGTGTTTTCCTAGGTCCTGTATTCAGTCTCTGAATTCTTCCCTTTGTGAACACCAAATTGCAACAAAGACCCTAAAAAAAAAAAAAAAAAAAAGCAACCTCTCTACAGAACATGGAAATATATATACCTTAATTTCTACCTTGCATTAGCTTTTCATTAGCGTTTCCCAAGCACCTTTCTCCTAGTTTACTTCACACAGAGGATGTGGGGTCTTGGATATTCTTCACACACGGACGGGTGAGGAGAAGGAAAAGAGCTACTGTAAGGAGCCAGCTACAAGTCTCCACACAAACCTGTCTTTCAGTCCAAGTATCAAAAGGGAGATAAAAAGCCAACTGCAGACATACTGTACGCAGCAGGAGCCAAGAGCTACCTTCAAGATTGGCAGTTCCAAAAGGCATCAACAGGAATCCTCTTGGTAATTACTAGTTCGGAAATGTCATCCCATTGATTGTGACAGACATAAACCAGCTGTGCTTTGTTGAGGGAGAACAGAGGCCGGGCCTGAGCAGTAACAAACAGCAGGCCAGCTGCAGCCTGCACTCCTGCTTCCTCCCCAAGAACTCTCCCGCTTCATTCTTGCCAAACACTGAAGCAATTAATCACACAGTAGAAGTGGCTCTAAAACGTCTAAAATTGCCTGTTGAAGATTAACTGAACCTATCATATTTCCAGCCTGATTGGGAGGGAGGAAAGAGTGTCTTTGTATTGCAGAAAGATTCTCAGTCACATTAATTGCTAAGGTTTCGAGCTGGTCATTCCAATTCTGACTGGAATTTAGAGAATCTTCTGGCCAGAAATCTGTATTCTTAAGTGAAAGACAAAAAAAGGACATAGAGATTTCCCTTTATGAATTCCTAGGGTAGAATCAAAGACATACAGTGCAAGCCAACACAGGTGTCCCTGTGACCTAAACAGCCATTTGAGGAGCAATTTTTCCTTTATTCTTTCTATTGTTTGCATAAAACACCTCCTCAGCACCAACATCCTCTTCCCTGAAGGAGAATTTCAGTCTCTGTCAGGGGCTGGGGAGTTCCTACCACATGGGCCACCAGCCTCACTCTCAGGGACAGTGAGTCTCCCAGCTGGGCCTGCTATACTGCACTCTAAAGCAGTCCCTGCCTCAGAAAGGCATGCTGCCTTCGGCTCAGGAACAGACAGCTGCTGCCCTATAAGTGGTCTGTGTGAGACTCACTGCCATATCGTGAAGGAGATAGACGTCCTTTTTTATTTCATTTTTTTAAAAAGAATTATTTTATTTAACTTTATTTATGTATTTATTTTTAATTTGACCTGAGAGAGAAAGCGAGAAAGCAAGCCACCAGGCCCAGGTCTTGAAATGCAAGTAGCCATGTGGAAGTCTAGCCCCCTTAATCACCACACCACCTGCCAGCCCCTTTTTATTTATTTTTTAGAGAGAGAGATTTTTGCTATAGGGTACATGTTCTCACCACAGAGACAGAGACAGAAAGTGAGAAACTACCTCCCGGGGGGAGGACTATGGTGCAGTCACTTCTCTATTCTCTCAGAATTTTTTTTAAGTTCTTTTTTTATAAAGGAATTAGTTAATTTTATTTATTTATTCATTTAATTTGACCAGAGGGAGACACAGAAAGACAGAGAAAGAGAGAGAGGGAAAGTAAGAAAGGAGGTCACCAGGACCAGGACTCAATCATGATCAGCCATGTGGGAGTGTCCAGCACCTTAATGACCATGCCACCTGCTGGTCTCTCCTCTCAGGATTTTGGGCACATGTGTACATGTGCTCGGCGTGAATTTTAAGCCCCCAGGCCCAGGACTCAAACCACGGCTGCCTATGTGGGAGTACAGCTACATAACCATTATGCCTTCTGCTGGTGCCAGAAACAGATTTCCGATGACTCTGGTCCAGAAGTATGGGTGAGAGTGGAGGGCGTCTGCACCAAATCTAGAACTGATCTGTGGACCTTGAGTGGTGGGTCTTGGACTAACCCAAGGTTTTTTAATCTTCTTATGTAATCACGTACGTAAATACCCAGAACTGGGTCTCGGAGGGAAATGATCCTGTCCCCGTTTCAACCCTACCAGATTGTTCCATTTAACTCTCTGCCTGTTCAATTCTTTAGAAGTGCTGGGACCGGTACCCGCAGATGGCATGATGTTTACGTGGTTAAACTCCCACATTGTTGACCAAGGTTTGATTTCCAGACCAGTGGCTTAAAACTCATGCCAGGTGTATGTGTGTGTGTGTGCCCAAAATTCTGATAATGGAGGAGAAGGGATTATGGCATGGCCATTACCCCTGCGGAGTGATTTCTCCTTTCTGTCTCTGTCTCTCCAGAGAGTGCACGTGCCTATAACAAAAAATCTCTCTAAAAAAAAAATAAAAAGACCAAAGACCAGGCAATGATATCGCAATAATATATTGGAACCCCTGTGGGAAAGGTCCTGGGTCTGCTTCCCACGAACTCACTGTGTACACTGGCACGCGCACGTGCCCACGATCTACACTGCTGAGACTAGAGATGAAGAACCTGTTAGAGTGTTTGTCTCTCTGTCTGTCTGGGTCTTTCTCTCTGTCTCTCTTTCACTCACAGAAGAAATTTTTAAAAACTTTTTTGAAAGAGTCATCACTGCAGGAGGTGGATGCAAGTTTACTTCTATTTTAAACTATTGATTTACATAACAATGACTCCTGTCAAATGCTGCTCTTCTCTTTTAGTTTTGTTATAGGGTAGTTTCCCCAAAGGAGAGAGACAGAGAGAAAGCAAGGGAAAGTGAGAAATCATCCCTTAGTGTGATTTCCTTCCATTCTTCCAATCTTCTGTCAGGATTTTCCATTCTTCCCTAAGGATTTTCAGGCACATACACACACACATACACACACACACACATCGTGTGATTTTTTAAGATGCTGGGTCCAGGTCTCTAACTGCATAGTCAGCCATGTGAGAGCCAGCCACCTTAGCTTCCATGCCATCCACCGGCCCAATGCTGTTGTTTTTATTTTAAAATTCTTTGCCCCATAGGACAGCAATTAAGCATTGTGAATAGAGAGTTGGATTCTACATAACTAACTACAGTTTGAATCCTGGCCCCAACTTGAGAAAAATGCAAGGTACATACATATACATGCCACAAATCCCAACAGGACAGAAAAATGGAGGAAAAAGGATTGTGGCATGACCACATTCTATATTGGGAGTGCTTTCTCTAAATATATAATACACACGCATGAGCACATGTGCCTCCTAGCACTTAAAAAAAGAGAGAGAAATGAGCTAGATTTTGAAGAAACAAAGATCTACCTTCTTATAAATATAATTTCTAAATAACACCTAAGAGATGTATTAACTATTCTTTAAACAGAAAGACCTATATGTTCTTACATGGGAAGAAATTCCAAAATATCTAAAAAGTAAAAGAAGCCTCTACAGAACATTCTGCATGAGTCAATTTCCCAAAAGAATAAAAAATAGTTACATATATAAATATAGAAAAGAATTTGGAAAACTGAGGATTAAATTGTTCTTAGCAGCCATCTCTAGGAGAAAAAAATAATTGAGAATGTTTACTTCCTGTATTTGGGGGGGGGGGGGGGGGGGAGGGTGTTTTG